TAACCTACCACAATAAACACCATTATTTGTGTCCTCAGATTACACAGCTTTGACGTTTGAGTTTATACCTGTTATTTGAACTTTTTCACACATTACTTCCTTCCAGCTAGACAGTAAATTCCACAAAAATAAAGAATGCCTTTTTTTTTTTTTGGAGATAGAGTCTTACTCTGTTGCCCAGGTTGGAGTGCAGTGGCACGATCAGTTACCTCAAGCCTTGATCTGCTTGGCTCAGGCAGTCCTTCCACCTCAGCCTTCCAAGTAGTTGGAGCTACAGGTGCATGACACCACACCCGGCTACTTTTTTGATTTATTGTACAGACAAAGTCTCGTCAAATTGCCCAGGCTGGTCTTGAACCCCTGGGCTCAGGCGATCCTCTCGCCTCCACCTCCCAAAGAGCTGGGATTACATGCGTAAGCCACCACGTCTGGCCTGCCTGTAACACCTTGCTCACTTGGTGTCTAGCATGCTGTTCAGAAAGGCAGATTAGGGTGCATCACGAACCCCTTGCTAAATCAGAAGAGAGCAAGCCAGTAACATCCCAAGTAGTTCAAAATTTATTTGGAAAGCTTCTGATTAAGGAGAGAAAGAAAATGAGTCCGATATTGAGAACATTTCTTCTCCAGTTTAGAAGGTACTCCCTCCGCCTCAGTACAATAGGGATTTCTCTGGATAGCTGTTTCCTGGACCTCATCTTCCTTGAAGCATACTCATTTGAGAAGCCAATCATATTTGGGAAAATACCATGATCAACTCCTAATCAAAGTCAGGCAAAATGAGCAAGTTGTTTCAATCTAGCACGTGTGAATGTTGGGGGAGGATAGTGGACATCCCAGTTTGTTTCTCCTTTGGTAACATTTGTTTTATTTTTTGTTGTTTTTTGAGTCAGAGTCTCACTCTGTTGTCCAAGCTGGAGTGCAGTGGCATGTTCATGGCCACTGCAGCCTCGACCTGCTGGGCTCAGGTGATCCTTCCACCTTAGCCTTCCAAGCAGCTGGAACCACAGGTGTGCACCACCACACCCACCTAATTTTTTTATTGCAGAGATGAGGTCTCGCCATGTTGCTCAGGCTGGTCTCGAACCCCTGGGTCCAGGCAATCCTCTCGCCTCAGCCTCCCAAAGTGCTGGGATTACAGGCATGAGCTACCACTCCCGTTCTAATAAAGTTTCTTTTGTACACTACATTCATTCACCAGCAGATTTAACTCCTTTCAGTGGTAGGTTTCCAACAGTACAGATTGGAACCTCGTGAGGAGAGAAGTCACTCTGCCTCCTGCTGGCCACAAACAGAAAGACTTGGGCTTCTTTTAGCTTATTACTAAGAAATAATATCTTTTGGCTTATTATCACATTTCTCCTTCACATGGGAACTTGTGAAGGAATGGAAGACTGAAAGGGAAAAGGAAGAATGTGCTTCCTTTTTCTTTGAATAGGAGTCTCCCTCTATCACTCAGGCTGGAGTGTAGTGGCATGCTGCTCATGGCCACCGCAGCCTCGACCTGGTGTGCTCAGGTGATCCTTCTGCCTCAGCCTTCCAAGTAGCTGGAACTACAGGCGTGTGCCACCATGCTCAGCTAATTTTTTGATTTTCTGTAGAGATGAGGTCTTGCCATGTTGCCCAGGTTGGTCTTTAACCCGTGGGCTGGCAGTCCTCTTACCTCCGCCTCCCAAAGTGCTGGGATTACACATGTGCCTCCTTTTTTGCCGAGCCTGGACTAAGCTTTGGGTGTAGATTTGTCACTAAAATCACATACCTTAAGCTCCTCATTCTGTTAGCCACAGCCTGAGGTTGATACCTCTTCTACCTTAGCTATAGAAACAAAGGGATGGACAGGGTTTAGGAAAAAACCTGGTCCATATGCCAACATTCCTGCTCCCTCTCCTAAGTAAAAGAATTGGGAAGCCCAGCCGAATCCCACATTATCGGCCCGTGTCCCTTAGAAACTCAGGGCCCACACCAGTCTCTCCCCTGAACAACGCCTTCAGTATTGTTTTTTTCCCCCTCCCAAACCCCAATAAAACACACCAACTGCTTCAGAGTATTTCTGGGTTGGGTTTTTTCTTGGGTCTTTTTTTTGGTTTTTTATTTCAAATACTGGAAAAGTCCCCTGGGTTCTGTGGGGGCTCCCCACGCTCACGGCTCCTTTCCCCCACATTAACTGCCCTTCTCCTCATAGCAAATCTATTTCAAGGGCAGTGCCTTTAAAAAATGAACGATTAACAGCTAGCTCTGCAGAACCAGAAGAGCTGTCTGCATCTGTCTGTGTGAGCTGAGTTTCTCTGATGTGACACCAGGTCTCCAGCCAAAACATTATCTACAGAGCTGAACTAGAAGCCCTTCTCTTCCATCCACTCCACTTCCTCCCCCTTACATCTACCCCACACCAGCCACATGTTTAAGGTTAGGAAGGTTCTTATCAACTCCCAGCCCTAATCCATATTCCCCCAGATCTCCCACCCCACCCTCTCAACCCCACCCCCAGGATTTCATTGAGATTTCTCCCAACAGTTACTTGGAAAAAGGTAAAACAAAAAGGTTCAAGGTCTTGGTGCTCAGCCCAAGGGGCTCCATGCACTAGGACACCGACAGGCAGGGGCTTCTGCCTCTCCAGCCCGTGCCCGAGCCACCTCCTGACCCCTGGCTGAAAAGCAGGGAGAGGCAGGAGCCAGCACAGGACCCAGGGGGGCGTCTCAGGATCTGGCGGAGCCCCGGGCAGCATCATTCAACTTGGCCACTGCGGACGAACACAGAAGAAGAAAAAAACACTGTCAAGTAATAGGGGAAAAAAGTCTCTGAATTCCATCCCAGTCTCTACCCCATGATAACTCCACACTCTACCTGGCACATGCCTCAATCCTATTCACAAAGGAGTTGCAAAAAATAAAAAAAGAGAGGATTTTAGTCTTTTTCTATACACAAAACAGAAGGTTTTTCTGCCTTCTGGGGATACCTAGGGAAAACAAACACAGAAAAGCAATTCTTTAGACAAGGTCAAAATAACTGGAGGTTTCTGGGGGGTAAAGCTGCCTGGCTCAGAGCAAGCTCAGGTTCAGAGGTTCAGCCACAGCCACGTGCAGCAGCAAGGACTAAGGCAGCACAGTGATGCAGTGGTGACTGCGTGGAGGTCAGGGTCAGACCACACACGTTGGTCTGACTGGATTTGATAATCTAACTTTAATCATAGCAATTTGGATTCTGAAATGACTGTTCGTTGCTAAGGAGGTTATGTACTTCATGCTGTGGAAACTGGTGGCAAATATAGAATGCATCTTGGGTCTTTGTTTTCTTAGCCTTGAAGATGACCAGGAAGAGAGAGAGCGAGACCACAGTTTTTCTGAGTTCTCTGCTCCTTCTATTCCTTCCTAAAAACCAGACTCATTGTAACCAGTAGTCTTGAGGACTCCAGCTAAACAGCAGAGAAGGTAGCTCAGACAGAAAAGAAAAAAGTACAGAATTCGAGAAGATCGGAGATGAAGAAAACGTACAAAATTATATATATATTTATATATATAATAACATGACATATCTATGTACAACATGGCTGGGACAGTTGAAGAAACTATACAATGATGTTCGGCATTTTCCCCTTCCCACATGGACTTTAGATTAAGGATGACAGCATGAAGAAATGGAGCAAGAAACACAAAAATTATATACAATTACAAGTGACAGTCAAGGAATCTGGGGACCAGGGAGTCCAGGGATCCTGCTCTCTCCATTCCTTCCTCACCAACTTTTCCCTATCCAACCTGAATGACAGCCTGAAGATGGAATGGCCAGTCAGGAGAGAAGTGTGGACACACCTCATCCCCGACATGCACATAGGCAAGTAGAGCAGTCATTTGCATCAGGCCAGATGGGTGGCATATCAGAATTTGTGAGGTGAGAGGACAAGGGAGGATTACAGTTTATCTTGCTCTCTTGAACATTCTCACTTCTCACCCTGACCCTCTTAGATATAACCAGCAGGTGGCATTCAATAAGACTCAGGCCAAGCTGGCAACAACTAGATGGAAGATGCTGGTCACCTGCAAGCCCTTTCCTCCACCTGTTCATGAATCAGCACTGCTACCTCTCCTTATCACACAAGAGCTGGGTAACTGAGCTCTGGGAAGGCAGAGGTTTCTCAGTCTTCCTCTTCTTCCTCCCTAACCGCTTTCCCCAGCTTTCTCCAAGGTGAATCATCTCCTAAGAACCTGCTGCTCCAGCCCTCCAGTATACTAAGACCCAAGGGCTAGCTCAGTTTATTCATTTTCTTCCTCTTTCCCTAACAATACACCTGGCATCCGATTACATCTGAAACATGGGTCAACACATGTACATGACTGAGCATGTTTCCTCAGGCCCACAGCTTTGCTGCCAAAGACACTTTTTAGCAGTAAAGGCCCCAGTATAGGCCAGGAAAGTGGGCAGGGTCAGAAGTAAGAAGTTTCCGTGGCTAGCTTCTTAATTTTTTTTTTCTTGACCCTCAAGACCATGGTATCTACGAGGTTCTTTTGCCTGAACTGATAACCTCCAAATCTCAACTTCCCCTTGCCTCCTGTAGCCCTCAAATGTTTCCCCTCTGTAGTACTTTCAGAGCAGAGGCTCACCACCCATGGGCCTTCCTCACTTTTAGTTTTACAATGAACAGTATAGAGTTTTGCTGCTGGTAGTTACAGGATGTTAGAATCAGAATCAATCTTTTTTTTTTTTTTTTTTTGAGTGGGAGTCTCACTCTGTCGCCCAGACTGGAGTACAGTGGCCACTCCCGGCCACCGCAGCCTCAACCTGCTGGGCTCCGGCGATCCTTCTGCCTCAGGGCGTCCAAGTAGCTGGAAACTACAGGCGCGCGCTACCACGCCCGGCTAATTTTGATTTATTGTAGAGATGAGGTCTCGCCAAGTTGCCCAGGCAGATCTCGAACCCACGGGATCAGGCAATCCACTCACCTCAGCCTCCCAAGGCGCGGGATTACAGGCTGAGCCACCGAGCCCGGCTCAGAATCAATCTTATATATATATTTAACTCTATTTTGCAGATGAGGAAACAGAAATCCAGAGAGGCTAAATGACTTGACCAAGGTTATCAATCAGCAATTCTGAGACTGAGTAGAATTAGAACCCAGATATCTTGACTCCTAAACCAGTGCTCTTTCCACTATCCCACGATACTTTCAAAAGCAACATGCTGGAAGAGAGAGAGAAGGTGTCCATTTTCTGTGAACAATGTTCATCAATCTTTACATTATTTGAGAGCCAGGGAAAACTGTCAGAGATACTAAGTAAAGGAGGCTAAGTGGGTATTGTAGTCTTAGGCAAGCAAGTCAGTTTTCTTTTTGCGGATTCTCTAAACCTGCCAAAATGGAAACATGAAGCATAGCAGCCTAAGGGACAAAACACTTAGAAGCACAGAAAACATGTCTCATTCAGTCTACCTTTCCCAACTACAGCAGGTTAACCTTTGGATGTCAAACCTGCCAAATTATTCCCAAGGTTCAGCCTAACCAATCTTGGGACAGTCTCATCCAAAAGGAGAAATCACATCTCCCAGTTTCTCACAAAAGAAAGAGTTTGCAGCATCATCTGATCCTAGCTGTTCCTACTTCTGGGCCCCTGCCTGGACAAAAGTGAGGGTGTGAAAGTCTCAATTTAACCCAAGAAATGAACTCAGAGCCCCTCTTCAGCCCATATCACCTTCTCAGCAGCCCCCAGCAGAATCACAGTCATTTCTAGCTAGCAGGCCGAGAAGATCTGACCGGGTGCCCATTTCATCCCTGCCTATGACATATCAAAGTCCAGTGGGTGAGGAAGGGGAGGGCCGGGGGAGGGGGCCCCAGGTTACCCCGCAAGCTTGCTGGTGACGAGTGATGACTTTCTCTGGGGCAGGTCCTGGGGGGTGGGGATGTGGTCACCAGTCACCAGGTTCTTGTCTGGCCCTGCACTTGGCAGCTGCTTGTTCTTCATCTTGGCTTTGGCCATGTTGTAGTCTCCTGAGTCAAAGTATTTTTGCTACGAGACAAGAAGGGTTAGGTGAGTGAGGAGCTCTGGTCTTGCTCAAAAACTGGGAGACTCACATCTTACGTCCATTATAAGCACTCATCCACACTCAGACCTTTCAGGAAGCCTTCCTTGATTAACCTCATGCATGCACAGTTTAACATTAATTACATGTTCTATGTCTTCTTCGCAACGTGTTCTGACTTCTTCAGGTATGTAAGCGATTTTCCAGCTAGGGTACATATTTTTGAGTCAAGGGGCAGCTCCTACATATATATCCTTTATACCCCACTCAGTCCAGGATGGTTCAACCAAAATTACCTACTTCAGTCATAAAGGCTTATCGGAGACCTTATTAAGGACAAAGCAATAACTAGGTTTGCTAGGGAACTAGAAATGAATAATTACATAAAAAAGAGTCAATCTGGGGCTATCCTAGCAATCAGCAGTTCAACCTCAATCCAGCAACCTCAAAATTAAAAATTATTCTCTCAGTCCAGGAATAGAAACTGGCTCGTTCATAAGGAGAATGTACTTTCCGCCTGACTCCCACAGCTCCCACACATGTTCTGACTGTGACAGCCTGCCCACGCCTGCCTTGCCTACAGCAAGGTAAACTGCAAATCAGCATCACATTATCATCTATGACTAAGACTCAATAACTGGGATCTTCCATAAGGATCTGTTTCACTCTCAATTACATCCATACAGAGGAGCACACTCAGGGTTGATGATTTATAATCCCTCAGTCGGCTTTAGGTACCTTTGGGGATCAAGAAACCTGATCAGGAGCCAGATGGCGGTGAAAGTAGACCCTTTCTTGGTGAGGAGGACCACTCTGGACGGGAAAAGTAAGTTTACTGAGGGGTAGAACTGATGGCTGGTGCTAACTTTTTTTTTGAGTTGGAGTCTCACTCTGTCGCCCAGATTGGAGTGCAGTGGCCGCTCCCGGCCACCACAGCCTCGACCTGCTGGGCTCCGGCGATCCTTCCGCCTCAGCCTTCCGAGTAGCCGGAATTACAGGCATGCGCTACCATGCCCGGCTGATTTTTTGATTTATTGTAGAGATGAGGTCTCGCTGCCCAGGCGGGTCTTGAACCCGTGGGCTCAGGCAATCCACTCACCTCAGCCTCCCAAAGGCGCGGGATTACAGGCTGAGCCACCAAGCCCGGCTTGGTGCTAACTTTAAGGGTGGGAAGAAATCTACCGTTCACTTCAAGTTCAGTATTTCTGTAGGACAGATACTCTTTTTCCGAAACAATGTACCCCCTAATTTTTCTCTAATCTTTAAAAAGCACACAATTCTAAAACTTCCATCATCCAAACAGGTAAATGTCTGGGACAGTTTGCATTCTAGTCTCTGACATCCTTCTCTCATTTCTCCATATACCCAAATACCCGCATATAAAGCCTTAACTTCCTATATGGGAAATCACAGGCAACTGACACTCATCAGGGATTTACAATAATTTTCCCAGCTCTTTTCAAATTACTAACGCCTCTCTAACAGTGCTCAATAACAAAATCTCCAGAAAAGAATCCAGTAAAACTTCTACAGATGTCATTCCAAGAACCCCTTTTGGCTCCAGAGTAAGAGGGCAAGATAGATTACCCCTTTCTGGAGTCTCTTCATGAGGAAGTCGGAGCCTCCAGGCTTTTGTCCTAGGCTTGGATATTTGGCCTTTAGCTTTGCCTCCTCAGCTCTCTCAGGGAGAATACCTTCTTTCTCCTGTGTGTCCTGGAGAAAACAAATGAGTCAAATAAAATGAAAGACTGAGAAACAACTGTTTCTAATATCTGATAACCCTTATACTATCCACTTTCCCTGGAGATTCACCCATGTGTCAACATGCTATTTCTACTCTGCTGCTTTTTTCTTTTTAAGTCAGGGCCTCACTCCGTTGCCCAGGCTTGAGTGTGGTGGCATGATCACAGCTCACTGCAGCCTCAACCTGGGTTCAGGTGATCAGGTGCAAGTCACCACACCCATGCCTGGCAAATTAAAAAAAAAATTTTTTTGTTTTTGTTTTTAGAGAGACATCACTATATTGTCTTGAGTTCCTGGGCTCAAGCAATCCTCTTTCCTTGGCCTCCCAAAGTGCTGAGATTACAGGTGCAAGCCACTAAGCTCATCTTATTCTGCTGTTAAACCTAGATTCTGGCCGGGTTCAGTGGTTCAGCCTGTAATCCCAGCATTTTGGGAGACCGAGGCGAGTGGATTGCTTGTACCTGCGAGTTTGACACCAGCCTGAGCAACCTGACAAGACCTCATCTCTACAATAAATAATTAGCCAGGTGTGGTAGCACATGCCTGTAGTTCCACCTACTTGGAAGGCTGAGGTGGAAGGATCACCTGAACCCAACAGGTCAAGGGTGCGGTGGCCATGAGCGTGCCACTGCACTCCATCCAGTCTGTGCGACAGAGTGAGACTCCAACTCAAAAAAAAAAAAAGAAAGAAAAACACAAGGTGCTTCTCATACTCCACCCACCCCAGTGACCTGTGAGTATTGGGTTAAAGGTAATACTCAAACACAATACTTTAATCACAGAGCAGACCACAGAGCAGGAAGGACAAAGAGAAAAAAGAGCTGGTGGGAGCTTCTAGTGATACAAGATGAGTAGGAGAGTTCCCTAGGCTTTCTGACAGGTCAACCAGCAAATCAGAGAGGCTACATTTGCTAGATGCTCCTCATCATTTAGAGACCAAGATGGCCACCTGTTAAGTCGCTCTGTGGAGGAGGCTACTGGCTATGTGGCATTCTCCAAAGATCACCACATTGCTTCAGCATTTCCATAAATATTGTGGTAGGAAGGTGCTATGTAAACAGAGATGAAAATGACTCTGCTTTTAACTTCAGGAAAATAAAAACACAATAGATTCACTAGTATTTACCCACCAGTTTTCACCAAAAAATCAATAACTATCCCAGCGGGACAAGTGATGTAAATATGGGGAAATGTCAACAGCTCAACTGGCTTGCAGCAGCTCTCACTATTCTTGTCAATCTTGTCTTGCTTTTTGTGGGCCCCACTGCCCTTTAAAAGACTTATTAAATTCAGGGAGTACATGCGCAGGTCTGTTACATAGATATATTGTGTGATGGTGAGGTTTGGACTTCTATTGAACTAGTCACCAAAACAGTGAACACTGTACCCAATAGGTAGTTTTTCAGCCCTCGTCCCTGCCCTTCCTCTCTCATGCCGTCCTCTTCTTTAGTGACTTTAAAAAGGTTTTTGGCCAGGTACGGTGGCTCATGCCTATAATCCCAGCACTTTGGGAGGCTGAGAGATGAAAGGATTGCCTGAGCCCATGGGTTCGAGCCTAGCCTAGACAACTGGGCGAGACCCTATCTCTACAATAAAATAAAAAAAAAATTAGCCAGCCGTGGTGGCGTGTGCCTATAGTTCCAGGTACTAGGAAGGCTGAGATGGAAGGCTCACCTGAGCCCAGCAAGTTGAGACTGCTGGGTGACAGAGTGAGACTCTGACTCAAATAAAAATAAAAAGGTTTTTAAGTAAATGATTGCCAAGCATGGTGGCTCACGCCTGTAATCCCAGCACTTTGGGAGGCGGAGGCAAGAGGACTGTCTGAGCTCAGGGGTTCGAGACTAGCCTGGGCAACTTGGTGAAACCTCATTTCTACAGTAAATAAAAAAATTAGCCAGGCATGGTGGTGCGCACCTGTAGGCCCAGTTACTCAGGAGGCTGAGGCGGAAGGATTGCCTGAGACCAGCAGGTAGAGGCTGTAGTTGTAGTGGCCGTGAGCATGCCATTGCACTCCAGCCTGGGCGACAGAGTAAGACTGCGACTCAAAAAAAAAAAAAAAAGGTATCTGAAGTCAACGACTGCTCTTTTTGGTGGAAATGCATTCCCTTCTCCTGAAAATCAGGCACAGATATAACACCAGCTGAATTTCATGAGTCCTTGAACCCGGCATTAAATTTTCTAACTCAAATACAAACCCCAAGAAGGGGTTTATTTGGCATTAGTGTTTTCATCACAGAATCGCGGGTGGACTAAGTCCCACTGCCTTGGAAGTCTGGGGGGCGAGGGTGGTGGCTTTCTCCTCACGACTCTATCGATGTGTTTTCTAGGTTTAATCTCCATTACTCTGTTGGGTACGCTAGTCCTCTTCAATCTTGTTAGGTCCTCACTGAAGGTGAGCAACAGACCATCTCCGACCATTAAAACAGGTCTCTTGAGAAAGTTGCCGCCTTAAACTGCCGTAATAATAATTATCCTTCTCCCCTCCCCCAGCGCTGGTCCTTTTTTAAACGTCTTTGCCTCGATCTGTATCTTTCCGCGGACCGAGGGTGCAGACCCCAGGTAAATGTTAGGTCATTCACCTCTTCTAACCAATAACACACATCACTTCCAGGACCACCAGCCCCCTTCCATTCACCCAGTCTTTCCAAACACCCGCCCTACGGCCGAGCTCGGCCAATCATAGCACAGCTTCCAGGGTTTGAGAAGGTGGCCTACTGGCCAATCAGGAAGAGGAACACACTGAGTGACAATCGACCCGACTAACCAGCACCAAAGCAGCAGGTCGTGTTGAAGCTCACCTTGCGTGACGCAAGAAGTGGCCAACCCCTGCAGAGACTGAGACCATGGCTACCAATCCGTATTGGTGGGAGACCGTCTCCCGCCCCATCACGGTCTCCCCTCGGCTCGTCCGCCCGCACCCCCTCCATTTCACCTGCTTCTCCTCGCCGGTCTCCTCCGCAGGGTTCTCTTCTTCCTGTTTCTGGGACATGGCGGGACCGGGGCTGTGGAGTGTAGGGGCCCGGGAAGTCAACCGGAGAAGGGAAGGGGGAGGGGAAACGGGGACAACCTGCGCCGCAGCTTCGGCTCCTGTCACTAGGGTTGCTCAGTCAAAATGGCGGCCCTTGCCCGTGACGTTGTGACCGCCCCTTCCTATAGGAACCAATGGGAGCGGGGTGGATGGGGCAATGACGTAACGGCCTGCCAATGGTCGTTGGCTAAAGGTGGGCTCTATAGAGACGACCGGCAAGCTGGGACACCAACCTGGAAAGAGAGCGAGCCCCAAGGACCAATAGAAAGCCTGTGGGGATCTCGGGGGGCGGGGCTGCTAGGTTTGGTATTTTGCTCCTTTGGTGGGCTCAGACTTCCTTCGCGTCCCCAGTCCGGTGCCCAAGGCGCTGTGCAGAGAGCTTCAAGCTGGGGAGCGAAAGTAAACCTTCTGTACTCAACGGGAGAAGATTAAGCCTTGCGCAGTGTTAGCAGAAAAGTATCGATATCCAGAAAATAATGTGGAAGTCAGGCTGGACTTTAAAGTGGTACTAAGTGATGTGTCACTTCGTCTGTGGAATGGAGAGACTGAGTCCCAGTCGGAGTCGTCCTGTAACACACTAATGGCTTGTTTCCCGCAATTTAACTAAAATAATAATAATAATAATAACACTGCAATCGTCACACTAAATTTTAATTTTTTACTTTTTTTTTTTTTTTTTTGAGTCGGAGTCTCACTCTGTCGCCC